ATGCAGTTCTGTTGTGAGATGGTTTTTTACTCCAGTGCAGTTCAGGTATATTATTTTGATAGATAACTTTGCCCCTAATTAATAATGGCTGTACAACTACACGCTGCAGAAAGAGGAGGAGAATGCAGTGAGAGCTGTTAGTTCTCAAGTGTCACTAATGACTCAGTGTTGTGTGCAGGGATCCCAATCATTTTAGTGACACTAATATTAGAAGGATGAAATGCCACTTTCACCACGTGCCTTGGCAGGCCTAGAATGTCTTCTGTCACGTGAAATACATATGTTTTAGAAAACCTCCAAAGGGAAATGTCCTGGGGCTCTTTGGAGAAGAACTGCAGTTAATCTACTCCAAGCAAAAATATGAAAATCTAGGAACTTGTTAATGTTCTTGCAACAGCTGTTGTTTAACTACTGAGGTAGTAAAAATTGAAATAAAATCTGTGGAGAAAGAACTAAGTGGTAAGAATGAGTAGAGAATAAATGGATTTTTTTCTGGTAATTGGAAGTTTTGTTATGGTTTATTACTTCAGATATAATGGGTTTTTGAAATGAGAAGCTATTGTGTTTTCCCTTTTGCTTGAAATGTCAGTTATTTACTGTCTCTTTATTTTTTTAGGTTACTATTAAAATCTTAAAAATGCAGATGAAGACTGGCTTGTGCAGAATCCTTCTGCTACCTTATACAGACAAAAGGGAATCCTAAACCAGGTTTTAGTACAAGGTACGTATTAAGGTATATGGCTTTATCCAGCAGTTACTGGAATCAGAACTTTTTGTTCAGATTTGTGATTTGATGTAGTTGTGCTTCTACACTTCAACTAATATTTGATTTCAGATAATGTAATTCCTGGCATAATTCCTGCCATGTGTTATGTTTTTAAAGGACTTTAAGCATATGCACACAGCCTCTAGCAGTCAGTTCAAGCTCTGGCCAGCCATCCAAACCCCATAGTGCCATGTTAATATGATGCCATGTCTGAGCTGCTGGTTGTTACTGATACATTGCATTCAGACTCCTGATTGTTTGTACAACCAACACAGGAGTTACTGATTCTGAAGTCTTTGGCATTAATCAGAGGGCTGTGGTCTGGAAGGAGGTGTCCATGCACTCTGGGAAGCCTGGGCCACACAGGTGTGTAGTGCCATCTGCCCTGACTGTGGACAGCATCTCAATGGGCCTGACAGCAAGGTTTTAAAGGGGGTTCTATGCAGCTAAGTTTGATAGTTCTGGTAGTTCCAAAATACCAGTTATTTTTTAAAAGTAAATTTAAACACTGGTGAATTTGACCAAGATCTGCAAGTTCTACTGGTAAAGCAAGAGAAACTTGTGTTAATTCCTCTGTGTTTGTTTGGCTTAGCAAAAGGACTCAGAGCTGTCTCTGTAGCTGTATTAAAAGTAAATAAGAGAACTAGAAATATAAAGGACCAGAACAATTTATCTGTTTTGTAATCACATGTAAAAGGTGTCCCTGTCTATGGCAGGGGTTCAGACCAGATGATCATCTCTCTCCACGTGTTGGCATCTTTCCAGGATGCCATGTGGATGCCTTTGTGGTCAGGTTGCGCTCTTTGCTCCAGGTGGCTCTTTGGCTTGGTGTTCACTAGGGCCACCATGTCCCTACCTGCAAAGGGGCACTCCAGCCACCTGGCCTCCAGCCTGTCCTGGTGTCTGTTTCTCCCCAGGTGCAGGATTTGGCATTTCCTTCTGTTGAATTTCATGAGATACTGTAAGCCCATTTCTCCAGCCTGTTGAGGGATCATGGGATGGTGGCATGACACTATGGCCTTAGCAGCCACTCCTCTCAGCTTTGTGTCACCTGCAGACTTGCTGAGGACATGTTTCCTATCAACCAGGGCAGAAATTAACATCCTGCAAAGGACTGCCTCAGTACAGGGATACTCTGCTATTCACTCAAGTCCAAGAGGAGTTCATGTCACTGACAACCTTCTAAGCTGGTGCCTTCAGCTGGTTTTTAGTCCCCCTCATGGTCACTGAGCCTATCAGTAGTCTGTCAGTATCATGACAGGATCAAAATGATAACTGGAGATACTATGGCAGTGTCAAAAGATTACCTAAGCCAAGGCAGACAATACCCACTGCTCTCCCCATGTCCACTGAACTGTCACCTCACCAGAGGCTCTCCAGCTGGGATCCTTAAGAATTTGCAAATGACCTAGTTGTAAATCCATGCTGACTGCTGCCACTTACCTTCTTGCCCTTCTTGGTCTGCAAATGGGTTTTTTTGGAGTAGTTGTTCCATCACCTTCCGTGGGCTTGTAGTTCTCCGGGTCCTCTTTCTTGCCATTCTTGAAGATTGAGTGACTTTTGCTTTCCCCTGGTCCTTGCACAGCTCTCCTAGTTGCCACACTCTGTCAGCAATGCCGAGTGACTTTGCAAGGCCAGCAGCCAGCTCCTTCAGCGCTCATGGGAGCATCCCATCAAGCTCAGCACGTGTGACTTGTCCAGTTTGTGTTACCTAACCTGGACCCTGTCATGTTCTTAGCACTGGAAGGGGCGCTGACGAGGTGGGAAAGTTGTTGCACACCTTTTTTTGTGGTTCTGCTTTTGCCCTTAACTAAGGAGTCCCATTATTTTGTAGTTTTAGTAAAATCACAGTATAAAAATTATCACACAGCAATTTGCAATATTAAACCAGACTACTGAAATAAGCAAGTTACAAGCATTTGCTCACAAAATCTAAAAAAGACAAACAGCTAAAGCTCTTTGTCAGAACAGTAGTAGTAAAACAGAAAATGCCTAATTTTTTGAGTTTGATTCAAATTTTTTTTCTTTAATCCAGAGGACATTTTGTATTGACCATGTAGCCACTGGAATTCAGTCTTGCTTGTCACTACATATGATAGTGCTGCTGTGTACAAGAGGTTCCCAAATGGCTCAGTGTTTGGCAGATTTCCCAGGCATCTCAGAATTTTTCTGTCAGTTTACAGTTTCCTTCCTGTGAAGGGAAAAAGGGGTGGTCAAGGTTCCTTGGAGATACAAGTGTTCCTTTTACTGGCTAAATAACAACTCCTTGTCTCAATGAAGTGATAAGAACCTTTCTTCCTCTTCCCCCATTCCTGTGTGTGGACCTCAGACTGTGAATCTGGCTGACCAAGTATAATGGCCTAAGGAATTTGTGTTGAGTATTGTGCCAGGCTGCCTGCTCCTGGGCTTCCTGAACAGAGGGAGATCCAGCTGCCTCAGCTGAAGCAGGGCTGTCTGAAAAATTGCTGGCATTTCTCAGCTCTTTATCCAACTATATTTGCTGATGTGTTGCTCTGTTATTAGCCATTTTACTCTTAAGTGCTCTACTTTGATGACAAACAGCACACTTGCAAGGAAGATATCACTCAAGTGTCTCTTGTAACTCCTCAGCCTGAATCATACTAACTTCTTGGAAATGTTCCTCTCCACTGAATGCATTAGGTTTCAAGGGAAGCTGCTGGTGGCTGCCCACCCTCAGAACTGAAGCTGTTACATTGTCATGACATGCAAAATGCTGCTCTACACCTTGGACTTACAGGGACCATGAGGGTGAGAATATAATCGTGTTGTCACTTGCTAAAAACTCCTGTAATGGTACAATTTGTACTCAGATTTCAGTTTGTTAGTATTCTATTTGTGCTTGATGCATGAATGGTTGTTTGGTTTTTTTTTTCCCTTTGTTTTTTCCTGTGTTTTTTTTTTTGTTGTTGTTGGTTTTTGTTTGTTTGTTTTGTTTTCTTGTAGCTCTCAGTGCTCTCGGGCAAACAAATAATGCTGTTATCTAATAAAAGAGTAACTAAATCTGTCACACATGGCTGAAGGTAGGACAAACTGATCATTCTCAGTTAAGCTGTTTTCTCTGTGCTTGCAGACAAGCTGGATGGACCTGTGAGACCTGAGGGAAAAGGGCTGTTTGAAATGACAAAATAGAACCCAGCCTGGAGGTGGTGTGTCCCCCACCAATACCTCAGCTCGGAAAAGACATGAGAAGAATGTGAATACATCTGCTTGTGAGCTCCAAGTCCTCTTCCTACTTGAGTAGACCAGTTACAGCTTGTGTGCTGTTACTGTCTTCAGCCTCTGGCACAGAAGGTGGTGCCAGTCCAGCATTTCATAGTAAAGCTGATGTTGGCCTACTTTGATGTGTAACTGAGGTACTGATGCCCTTTTCATCTAGACTGCACTCCAGCAGATTTTCCTTCTAGAAACAGCAGTGTTAAGGGAAATGGGTGTAACTAAAAGGATTAAAGTTTGTATGTTCTACAAGAATAATAAGAGTAAATGATACATTAAATGACTGCTCCTTGGTTTAACTGATTGCTGTTGGACTTTAAAAAAAGCCTTTTAAAAAGTAAGAAAAAATGTTCAAGCCCTACAATATATGACAAAAAATAGGAGAGTGGTAGGGTTTAAAGAAAAAGCAGTAATGTGCATTGTTTATGCTGCAGTAGTTTAGAAGAATATGAAAACAAGAGAAATATGGTATGAGCCAGTGACAGCTGAAAAGAACTGGAAGGAAATGCTTGCTAATCAGAGGGGAGTAAGTTGTCTGTGTTGTTGAGTAGGGAGTTATGCTACAAATGCCTGCTGTCTTAATGTAGCTCAATAAAAAGATGAAAAAACATGAAGGAAGAAATATTAATTTTATGTGATGTGATTTGAACACTGGCCTGTAAAATACCACGAGGGTTTTCATCAAATTTCTACAACTATTCTAAAACTGTTTCAAATTAAATGAGTAACAGGATGTTTATTTTTTTATTTCCCGAAATCAGCAATGCAGTGGACATGAATTGAAGATTTGACAGGAACCTCATGCAGTTAAATCCTGCAGTGGGAACTGAACTAAGCTGATGCACTTGTAGATCCTGGTGGCGAAGCAGCTCTGCAGAGGCTGATCTGGGGTCCCGAGGGACAAGAGAAGATGAAGGTGTCCACCCCCACGCTGGGCTCCATTAGAAGATCATGGCTGAGCAAGAGACAGAAGAGCAATCTCTCTGTTCAGCACTTCTGAGACTGCAGCTGGAACACTGTACCCAGTTCTGGGCTCTTGAAGACAAGATGATGTGGGAACAAACCCTGTGGAAGCCACGGGCAGTCAGAAGGCTGTGGAGCACAGGAGCCATGGGGCCAGGCAGCAGGGGTTTTTCCAGCTGGAGAACAGGAGGTGAGGGTGGTTAAGAGATCCTGTTAATCTGGCTGTGTAAGACAAGGGCATAGCGAAGATGGAGCCAGGCTCATGGCAGTGGTGCTCAGTACACTGGCAGTTTTGTACCACTGTTTCAGTGCTTGGAAGTACTGCACCATACCACTAATAAAAACAGTGCAAAGCAGTACTGTGTGGCTGTACTTACCTGCACCCTCTCCAGTGTGGAACCACTGGGGGCTTCCAGCTAATAATTTGGTTTCAGGAAGGGTGGATGCAGGGGACCTGGTCTGGAGGTTCACTTGTGGTTTTAGGGATCTTAATCCTGCTACTCACTGAAAGAACTACTCTGATACTGACACAGCAGAGTTGACAGATGTATGAAGGTGAGGGAACATCCAAAGCCTTTAAATCTCCTGTGCAAGCTTTTCCATGCGGGTTGTCTCACGTGACATCATAAAGCCTTTTTGAGAAAAACTCTGTCAGCACAACCTTTACAGGTGGGAGGGGCAGGGACAGCACCTTCCCCCCTCCCCCTGGAGTGCTGTATTCAGTGTAAGGCATGCAGCTGCTGCAACAAACCTAACAGGGCCTTCTTCCCAAATTCATCAAACTGTTCTTGGCTAGGAAAGGTCCATACAAGTAACAGCTTCAGGGTGCAAGACTTCTCATCAGAAGTGTGAGTCTGTGCTACAGACTGAGATGTCACCACATGGGTAATCCTGTCCCCTCAAGCTCTACTGGCCCATGCCCACACAGCTGCAGTGAGTCCAGTTTTAGAGCAGGCCCTCATCTCCCTGGGTGTGTGACAATGTCTTCAGTCCCCATACACATGGGTTGGGTGTCTCAGCAGCAGAGCAGTGCCTTCCTTTAAGAGCAAGAGGCACAGCAACAGAGGGAGACAATGGGAAGGTCTGACCCCTCTACTCTTAACTGCACCAGTGCCACCAGTAACTGATAGAGGAGCTCCTTACACTTCAGAAGGATTACAGACATTCTGGAAAAAGATTCATTTGCAGCTACCATGCATGACTGGTTTGCTGTGGAAAAACAGGTGACCTAAAATCAGAAAGAACCATTTTCTGCCTGGTCCCTTCCTGCTGGCTGCTATACTTGAGGTAGCTGAGATTTGAGAAACCCTTTTAAAGCTTAATTTTTCCTGCTGCCTCAGTTCTGCTCAGATTTGTAGTGTGTGGTGTCTTTTTCAGGTAGTTTTTTTCCAAACTTGTCTTTGTCCCTCACTCAAACATTTTAAGACAGAAGGTGAAAAGTACACGGCTTTTTTAAATTCAGACTGATCAAAAACCATCTTGTTTTTGCAAATGGGTGCAGAAAGCACAGAAGACCTGTGACATGGTCAGCTGCATCACCCACCAACCTTCAGCACCAGTGAAAGAAGCCAGGAACAGCAGCTCTGGTGCTGGAGCACTGAAGGTTCCCCTGAGCCTTCAGAACCATCTGCTACCACTGCACATCATGGGAACTGCAGCTGCAGCCCTTGCTGGTGGCAGCAAGAAGAAACTGAGCAAGTACTTCACAGGTATTTCTCCACAGTGCCTAAATAATTGGTTTTTATTGTAACTACTTTCTCTTCATCCTTTGTCAACCAAAACCTTTTCCAGCAATCGGACAAAACCCATACAATAAGAACGGACAAAACCCAGCTTCAAACAGCTTTTCATACACTTCTTATGCATCTTCAACAGGGATTCTGGATTTATACTGCCAACTAAAAGAGAAAGATGGCTGCAAAATATCCATCCCTAATAAAAGCATCATGAAACCAAGATTTCATTCCCATGTTCTATAGAACTCCTCTCTCTCCCAAGTGCCTCAAGATAAAAAACAAAACAACTCCCCAAATCAACAGCCTTTGACAAACTACTTGCTCGATCAACTCTTGGAGCATTACTAGACATTTTTAGGTTAGACTGTACAACAGTTTCTAAATAGCATCTCTATCATTTGGACATTTGTTCAAAACACCTTTTATCCCCGCCTGGAGCAGCTCCAGCATTTCCCAGTGGCAGGTGCTGCACAGAGCTTGTCGCACACGCGCTGTGCTGCCACACGTCCTGCGCCGCAGTGACTGCGAGGGCAGCCACGTAGATGGAACCTGGCACTCCAGCATAAGGAAACACGAGCATCCCTCTCCTTATGCATCATCCAGGGTTATGCACAGTGACTAAAATTTCAGCTACACAAAGTCCTAAGTGTTGGCAGTGACGTACCTGATTCTCAGCCAGTGCTTTTCATGCATCTCAGGTGTTCACACTTAGCAAAGTGAGGTATCTAACATATTTCAGAGGTGGAGGTATAAAGTCTGTTCAAAACCCAAATTTGTTAAGATTTCATCAATACTGTGCAAAAACATAAGCAACTCTTCTAAATCAAAACAGAAATGAGTATTTCTACGTCATGCTGCTGTTCTAGTTTTATAGTTTTTTATCTTTTATAGCTTAATGTGACATTCCGCAAAAATTGTGTCCTCTGTTACTCATTTGGCATCTCTTGAATAGGATTTAAAACTTCAAGAACCAAAAATTAAAAACTGGTTAACTGAACTTTATATTTTGTTACTCATTTGGCATCTCTTGAATATGAAAGATTTAAAACTTCAAGAACCAAAAATTAAAAACTGGTTAACTGAACTTTATATTAAAAAATCACAGTTCTTAAAAGGATACTTCATACAGCTGCACCATTTTGATGGTGAGCAGTCAAAATCATCAAGAATTTATGCACAATAGTTTTGCTAATAATATAGGCACGTAGTGGCATGTAAACTACACATGACAACTAGAACAGCAAAGGCACGATCTGGTTTGGTTTTTCCTACCTTTCAAGATGTTGGTTACTTTACAAAGAAAAATATTCTATACTCCATGCAGAAGTATTACATTTATATTTTACAGCACAGGACCATTACAAAACTGCTGTCATCTGATAAAATGGGTCATTTAAATAAAACAATAATATAATAATAATAAAATAAAAAGATAGCAGCTTTTTGCACTGAGGAACTGAATTTCTGAAGTAAAGGACAACATGTGTTCTGTCATCTGTCAGGCTGAGCACATCTGAAATTCTCTATATATCTTCTTATCTACAAAAAGCAGTGCCTGGACACTGAAGGTAGCTACAAGCTTTCTGGTTTGCTATTTTCAGCTGTTGTTTGTTTTTCCCGATGTCAACTAAGACCTGAAAAGTTAAGATGTTTGTAAAACTACCAGTTGCTTCTCTAATACCAAAGCAGGTTTAAGCAGAGATTTAACTGGGAACCTAACTGTGACCCTCTGTGGATGGAGCCTGTCCAGGTGTCTTTGTTCATACCTGCAGACTGAACTCTGTTAGTTCCGAGGGAATCACTCTAAGCATGACTGGTGTCTCATTGAGAGACAGGAACATGAGCAGTTTTAAAACAGAACACAGCCCTCAGCAACTTAAAAGTTGAACCTAATGCAGTCATTTTAAAGTGTAATTTCTGCCCATGGCTCCAATAATATGACAGGTCTGCATTTCACATAGAAACGTTATCGTAAGTAGAAAACTTTAGTTTACAAATGAAGATCTTTAAAAAAGACATTTCATGTAATTACCTTAAATAGTTCTTATATGCACCATTCCACATTGTGGAAAAGCGGAAATACGCAGTCTGGACTCCACAAGTTAAAGAAAAACAGAGTTATATGTATTGGCACAAATACTTACATCTACATCTGTACAAAGTAAAAAAAGCTGACAACCCTGTCCCACCAGTGCAGCGTATTCAACTGCTCTCCAACACACACTCCTGTGACTGCCAACGAGCGGCGAGCTGGCAACTGAGTCTTCAGAGTGTGGTGCCAAAAAGTTCCAAACTGCTTTGTCAGTCTCTGGAGAGAGGAATCAGAAGTATATCCAAAAAAGTGTCAGGCCACTCGGCATGCTCGGAGGTCACTGCTGCTGCACTCTGTAAGCTCCTATGAGGAGCTTTACCTGTAAAAGAAAACAAAGGTTTCCCTATCAGTGCTGGCCAGGGGTGATTACTGTGTTAAGCACTCCTGATGTGGCACAAGAAAAGGCACACAACTGCTACTGACTAAGAAAGGAAAAAAGAGCAATTACAAAGTCCTTAATAAAATCAGTTTATAGTAGCCCTACTGAGATATGGATGGCTTGTTAAAGCACTCCAGTAGAATACTGCAGCATCAGGTGGTGTTTGAACAAGTTAGACCCAAATCTGAACCAGATAAACATATACTTCCATCTGAATACACCTTTTTCCACTTAAAAACGAAACTAAAAGAAAGCACAATAAAACATTTAAAAGTATAACTTCAGTGCAACTTTTAAATCTGAAGAACTGGAAAATATGCTACTATGTCTTTCTAGGATAAAATAAATGCTACCAGAACAGGATTCATCTTGCAACATGTAGTGGGGAATATTGTCCCAAACCACCTGTAAAATGCAACAGACTATTTAAAAGCAGAGTGCACATCCCAGTAAATATTTCCAACACAAAAAAACATCTGTATGCAAAAAAAAAAGGTGGCCACTCCATGTATCTTTCAGTCATCAAATTCACAATATAGATGGAGAAGATGTTTAGCTGGAACTAGTTTATTCTAGTGTATGAATTATTCTGACAGCAACATAAAAATTATTAATTATAACAGAACTAACACATGGCAATGTTCCCAAGTTCTGACTATGTCACAGGATGTAACTAACTGATGGAAATGGGGATGAGGAGACAGAGGAAAATCTTTTAAGTTTTACATTTGCAACATACAGCTAGAAGCATTCAGACTATGGAAGAGTACAACAAATGAACAGACACATTTAATTTTGAGAACATTTTGTACCTTGGCAGTAGGAGCTTCTGCCAACCGTATGAAAAGCTTGTTAAGACCTGCAGTAGGGCTGAAGGAATAAATAAAGTGACTGTCCTACAAGGAAAAAAAAATGGACTAAGTTAATGGTAGGTTATGGCTCGAAGAGCTGTGTAAGAGGATTAACAACATAACATTTTCATTATGCTTTTTTGGAAAGAACATTGTGTATGAACCTTTGATGCAATGACTGAGAAAACAAGAGGACTTCAACACTGTGCAAAGTGACACATTTAATGGATTAAAAAAACCAACCAGAAATTAATTACTAGAACTTTGAGGTAGGTTGTTAAGAAAATATTTAAGAATTTACTTGGGTCAAAAATATGAGAGGCTTCTCAAAAATTAGAGATGAAGCCTCAGTCCCAGAATCACAGAAGGTTGGAGGCTGGAGAAGATCTCTCCAGGGCATCTAATCCAACCCCCTGCTCAAGCAGGGCCACCTAGAATCAGGTTGTCCAGCACTATGTCCCTAACTTTTATGTCATAAATTTTTATGGAACCCAGTACAAGCAAACTTTATAGTTCTCTCCATATCCAAAGAAAATTAAGTTTCATTTTAGAAAAACATCATCATGATAAAAAGTATGTTTCATCACAAATACAAATTGCGGCACTGAGATTTCCCAGGCTGCTCTATAAAGACTTCATGAAGTAGTTTTACAGTCAATTTGCCATATGAAAAGATTTACCAAAAATACAGGGAGCTGGAATTTGTCATTTAAAACCACAGCTTGTACACTGCATGGTCCACAGAGCCGAGCAACAACATCTTTACCGATGAAATTTGAATGGAAAATGAAGAGAAGAATTCCAGATCCTGAAAGGGAAGACAATTCAGTTACATGAATTTGAAATTAGATCCGTTATCTAGAACTGTGCACACTGGACCTTTGAAGACAGGTGCAAATACATATAAATAAAAACCATTATATGGTGTGTGTATATATATATAAACAAACCAACATGCAAAAATTCCATTTCCCAAACCAGTGGATCCAGAAAACAACTGGCTTGGTCACCAAATTAAGGACTTTTCACAGCAGAAATAATTTTATGTGGCTAATAGAAAGGAACGTAAAATGGAAACACCAATCCTCAGCACAGTTCACTTCTGTGGTTTCAGGTTTACCCAAAGAGAGTGGAATTTAGTGTGGTTTGGGTCTAGTCAAGAGAACAGACAACTGAGCCCAGACATTATGGATCTTTATGAACCATGCTGGAATTCAATAAGCAGCAACTTGAACTACCCACAAATGTTTCATTTTAATACACAAACTTACATTAAGTTTCTTAATTCTAAAAGATGGGATATCTATAATAAGAACTGGATGACCTATCCAATAACTCTGAAAACAGAGCAGACATACCCACTTTCAATCTCAGTTTAAGTGGATTCTAATAGTCACACTGATTTATCACTTTAAGAAAAATCAGTATCAGTAGACATTTCCCTGATATACTCATAAAAAATTACTTAGATAAGCCAAGCAGCAGAGAATAGCATCTGAATTCCTGGAAGAATAACAGAACATTCCCAAATACCTTGGGAATTTGATTCCCATCTTTTTCAAAGGGTTTGTGGGCAAAACAAAGTTGAGTGCAGCTGCTTCCTTTTCCTAGAATTTCTAGACTGCATTTGTCTCAGGGCACTGCTGGGAATACATTCCAAGCCTTCAGCACATGACCTACTGTCCATGAAACCAAAGGATCCACCACAACATCTTCTCTAGTAATCTAGTAAGCCTAGATTTTCCTGAATCATTAATTCTAAGGTAAAGGTAAACCACTCCTTTCCTATAATGCCCGTCACTGAGCTAATGTAACCCATGAACAGAAAGAAGCTGACACTCTGCACGTGGCAATTAAAAAGTCTTAAAAAAATAATACACATAAACCCTACCCATAATACATCAAAATATAATTGCTCTCCTTATGTTCCATAATCAGAGCATTCTTAATGTGATGTACTGCAAAGTCATACAAAAATAATTTTGCATAGATAACTTAAGACATGATTTAAACATTTTTTTAGAACTTTTTTAAACAAACAAAACCCCCACCACAACAACAAACCCAACCCCCACCACAACAACAAACCCCTCCCTACCTTCTGGCACATTTTGTGGAGGTTTATAGTTAAAATCCAGTGAAAAGTCTGGCCCTTCGCAGAGACAATGACACGCGATTGGGAACACCGGCTCCAGCAAAACAAGGCGAGTTTCAAAGTAATTCCTGATGGTATCTTCTGCTACTCTTGAGAGCCTGAAAGACCAAACAAGTGAGGCCTGTGCTGCACACAGTGAATTATTTTACCAGACATAGGCTTGGTGAGAGCTGACCTACACACATGCAAAAAAAAGGATTCCAGATCACCTTTTTAGATTCCTGCTTTTCAGGAATGAATGCCTTCCTCACTAACATTTATGCATAGATGAACCACAGGTCCCAATACTTTGTTAATAAAGTATTTTATCAGCAATCTGTTTGTACAATTCAACTTCTGGGTCCAAAAAAAACCACGTTAATACAAATGCACTGCAGTAGCTTTAAAAGAAAGGATCTTACTAACCACATATTTTGAAGGCTTTATATACAGAAAGATATCCCACAGACATCAATGTATACCTGGTGGCTAAACAGACATCCTCACTTTCCCAGCCTGACTGAATTATCAATCTGCCTGCAAGTAAAAATAAAGAAGTATACATCCCTGTATAGTTTTACTGACAATACTACTAGAAAAATGCAGTTCCAAGTTGAACTCTGCGAATAAAATAGTGCAAATGTAGTCATTCTACCACTAAAAGGCAGGCAAAGTGGGAGTTTTGTTTGTTTTTTGGGAAGTTAGGGAAGCAGGTGGAGTGGCAGCCCAGCCTTCAAAGAGAGACCACATAACTGAGTGGTGTCTAGCACCTTTGCAGGCAGATTGCTCAGTAATCCCCTTCAGAAAGCTTCTTGGTCACAAATGGGTTTTAAGTGCTTCAGCACAGCAGAGGTCCCGCCTCTGGCAGCTTTATAGCTTTTCAGTTATTATTCAAACACACTTCCCCATCCTGCTAACTCAGACTATCATCTGCAGAATCTAAAAGTTCAGTGTTTCACTGGAAAGAAACCACAAGAACTACCATGCCTAAGCAAGCCCCAAAGCCCATGTAGGCTATTTTCCAGATGCTTGACAAAGCCATATTAAATATGAGAAATTAAACAGTAGTTCTTTTTTGGTACACTGTCCTATTTTCTAGCAATCTGATTAAGAGCCATCCAAAACTAGAAACTGCAACCAAATCCCATCTCCTCAGATCTACTTAATCCCTTCTAAAATCCCATGTATTTGTGACCACAGCATTCTGCAACAAAGAGATCCATGGTTCAGTTTTGCTGTGCAAAAATATTCTCCCACTTCAAATCTATCACTAGATCATTTAGGAGGATGGCCTGCAGAACCTGTCTCGTGGTTTTGGGATATTTTCTGTTGTTGTTTCCTGATTTCACATTTTGACCTTTTAATAATTTTATTTTCAGCTTCACTACCACTATACTGTCCTCCTTTTTAACTGACAAAAATCACTGAACTGGTATTTTCAGGTAGTGAGTCTAAAAGCTTCCCAAATTAGCAAGAGCTGTGTTACTCCCTGTGCAGTTCACATCGGCACAGTGATACCCCCAGACATCACTTTGCAATCATCAATATTTAATTTCAACTGCTACTTCACTGGCAAAACTACATGGTCAAGATCTTCCAAAACTCTTTATTTAGATTAGCCAAAACTGATGGTGGTAGATGTCAAAGAGGAAACAAACTGGAAAGGCATCAAATAGTGAATGAGTGACAAAGTCTTGCTACTCTGAACAGCAGATACCAGATCACTTATCTATCCTGCATGCTTGCTGTTGCCTTCAAAACCTTAACTAACAAGTCATGATTTGCTCCCCTAGGCAAGAATCAGGGTACTTCATTCATCCACTCCATTCACCCACCTGCTCTTCAACAGGTTTCTAATTTCTGAAAAATAATTATTAGTTCTTATGCTTTTAGCATTTTTATTTTTAAGCATTCTATAAGAGAAAAACATTGGCATCACATTACTTTCCTCCTGGTATGAAACTGGATCCAAACATGTTACTTCAGCAAAAATCATTTATGCTTTTAGCATTTTTACTTTTAAGCATTCTACAAGAGAAAAAAATTCCTTATAGTGTTCATCTGCTCAGGACACAAGTTTGATATGGTGATCTACAGCACCTCAAACTTTACAGGGCACTAAAAACAGTGGCATCACAATACTTTCCTCCTGGTATGAAACTGGATCCAAACATGTTACTTCAGCAAAAATCAGCAGCACACAATCCAGCTGGAAACCAGTCACTGCTGGTGCACCCTGAGGTCACTACTGGGTCCAGTCCTGTTCAACAGCTTCATTAATGTCCCGGTGGATGGTGCAGAGAACCTTCAGCACTTTGGCAGGTGAGACAAAACTGGGAGGAGTGGCTGATAGCCTCTGGTGTTTTTCTGTCATCCACAAGAGACCTCGACAGGCTTGACAGGTGGGCTGCCAGAAACCTCACAGTGTCCAGGTATCTTTAGAAAGTTTCCAAAGACCTGACAACCTCTCTGAGCAGCCTGTGCCAGTGCTGCATCACCCTCAACAGGAAAAATGTATTTCCTGATGCTTAGAGGTAGCCTCCTGTGTTCCAGTTTGTGCTCATTGCCCCTTGTCCAGTCACTGGGAACCACTAAAACCAACCTGACTCCATCCCCTTAACCCTGTCACTTCAGGTGTTTTATGACTGATACACATTGACCATTAAAAGGCAGTTTCTGTAAAGACAGACTTAAGAAGTCAGCTGATGGGAACCACAAGAGATATGAGGCAAAAAACAGCCAGGGCTTTCTATAAACTGGAAGAGAGTAAGTTTGGATTACAAACTACTTGATGGATTGTCTTAGATGACATAGATGAATCACTAGGACTAAATCATCATGGAACAAGAAAAAAATCTTGCATTTGGACAGTGTTTTTCCAGCACTAACTATACATTCATGGTAGATGAATCACTAGGACTAAATCATCATTGAAGAAGAAAAAATCTTGCATTTGGACAGTGTTTTTCCAGCACTAACTATACATTCATGGCAAAATCTCACCTGCTGCAGAAGCCTCGAGACCCTCCCTGAGTCTTCCCCAAATTTAGAGATTACTGGTTATAATTTTCTGCCCATATGCATTAACTACAATCCTCCAAATGGATATTTGGAGAGCTTGCTCCTTCTGTGTATGTTTGTCTCAGTTTAGCTCAGTATATTTTGTCATGACCATATGACATCAACACTTTACATGTCACATACACTGCACTGCTCTTCAGTCATTTTGCTGCATGATAATGATGATGACTTCTGTTATCTATTAGCATGAAAGCTTTATCCCTGGCACTTTCAGCTCATAGCTGGCATTTAAAGGTCCAACAACACCACAACTGCCTGCACAGACTTTTCATGGTGTTTCTGCTTGGTGTTCTTTTGTTTTGATTCTTTTCCCATCTTTTCTAGCAAGGTATTTTATTTGGCATGCCATACTAAGAGTGTACATTCAATGGTTCAGTGCTTACACACTTCTAAGTTTTCATGATTGCTGTATCTTAAGTTAAAGGAATCGTTCTCTTCTAGGAATTACCTTTTCCTCCTTTCCATGCTTTTATTCAGTGTTTGAGCAAGTGTATACCAATTCTGCTAGCTCACATAATTTTGATTTCACATGATTCATTAGTTAGCTTTCTGCCCAAATCAGGTATGTTTGCTTTCCTGGCATTTTCCTTGAGTTAAACCAGAATTACGGCATGCCTAGCACTGCAAACTTCAGCAGAACAAACTTCCAAGTACATTTTACTCACGTGTCCAAGTGGCTCTTGAGCTGCTCATACACCAGAACGTTATTGCACTGTTTAGCAAAATGCATGGCGCTGTTCTGATGCTTGGACAAAATGTTGCAGTCGGCTCCACTTTCAATCATGAGCCGCACTATGTCAGAGTTCCCTCTTTTACAGGCCTGGGTGGGAAGGGAGAAGATGGAAGGACAGAAAACAATGACAAACCCATCAGAACAGAGCATACATGATAGTAAGCAGAACTGCACAAGTGAATGAAAATCCATAATTAGTTACAATTCAGAACTTTAATTATTTGCTCTGTGAATGGTAGCATAGCTTGAAACTCGGGAACACACTCCACAAATATTTTATCTTTATCCGGGCAATACTACAGACCCAATCCTACAGAAGCAGCAACAGTCAGGATTACCACACAGACATAATTAGAAAAGAAAAAACAGAGAAAGCAAATCCCAGAAGTTCTGTGAAAACAGCTGATCTGCTGGACTTCAGTAACTGCAAATTTTCTTGCAATTGTTTACCTGAGTAAATGTGTTTCTGTAGAACTATTTAGAAATTATTCAAGTAAAATCTCCAAGTGCCTGTTTTGCTATGAATCTCAGTTTAAAATGGTATTTTGGGTATGCAGTAAAGTTACAGAATTTGTCTCAGATAGGCATGTTTCCAAGTGCCTGTTTTGCTATGCATCTCAGTTTAAAATATTTTGGGTATGCAGTAAAGTTACAGAATTTGTCTCAGATAGGCATGTAGCTATGTCAGAAAGCCACTGTTATCCTCTGCACAAATGTTCAAGGCTGTTCACTCTTACTTACAGTAAGAATTTCAGGGCATATCAACCATAAACTTAACAAAAGCACAGGAAAATCTAAAAAAAGTTTTACTTTGAAGAAAGCAAACACATGCCTTGGTCACTTGTTTTCAAGCACTTCACTCAGATAAATTAGGAAAAGACACACGAGATACAACATTTTTATCACTGTAAGACCTTTCAGAAGACAGCTTCTGAAACTTCTCTCTGCTCTGAATTTGGATCTGTACCTCCAATTTATCATCCTCCATAAACAGAACAACCCACCTGCCTTCCTCAAACCAAAAACCCCAGAAAAATCTCACACCACCTGACAGAAAGGAATTGAGTGCTAAGATCTTTCTTCTCTCCTAGAAAAAGTATGATCAAACTCCTAAGGTTGAAGAAGAGTGGCTTATCAAGTCAGTAATTGCTAACTGGTTTGTGCAGCTGTGCATCAAAGACTAATAAAAACTTTAAAAAAGGTCAAGACTGAGGTTCATGGAAGTAGCCAAATTTTGAAGAGATTTTGGATTGAAGTGGCTGAGGAAACCACAAGTGAGTTGTTGTCTTCAGAGAAAATGCAAAATCCCCACTTGTTAAGCCTCACAGAGTGCAGAACAGAAACAATACCACATTGTCTGGGCAGGAAAGCTTCTGTAACCTCTTTGGCAAACAAACTACACAAACAGCCTACACATAAATACAGCAACTTCATCCAAAAGGGAACTTTGGTGAAATTCATCCACATAAAAAAAACCAAACAAACATATAATAAACACAGACTGTTTTAAGAGTATTAGAATTTTCTCATTACAAAAAAAAAAATTTTAAAATCAAGATTTCCTTTGTGACTGAGGGAATAATGGTGCAGAACAGGCACTGGGAATCAGACTGTAAACTGGCTATTTTATTTCTGGCCTGCAATAAAGCAGCAAGTGCCAATCACAGGAGCACTCAAGTGAAAGATTTTCCTTTCTGGATTTTTTTATCTTCCTGCTGACAATCTGATTATCTCAGCTGGAAGACCACATCTGCATTTCTTTGAGCCAAACAACAGAAGAGGATGATGAGCCACATTTAGTGCTGCATGCTGAAGGCATCCGTGTTTCTTGTTTGGATATTACAGTACATGAAATGGTTTAGAACTCTGCTTGGACTAACTATGAATGGTATTTTTATTTCAAATATGGGATGTGTTCCTGAAATGAATTCTACAAATTCTACAATTCTAGGTTTTTATGTTTTACTAGTTTGACAAAAGTATTACTATTATACCATCTAAGTACAAACACAGAATTTACCTTCATTAAGGCTGTCTCACCACTGCTCTGCTGCATGTTCACATATGCTCCAGCTTCCAGGAGAATAGCTACTGTTGTCAGAAAATTCTAGGGGAAAAACCAAATCAAACCCACACCACAAGTAAGTAAAAAATATTCTGGTTTTGCTTCAGAATATAAAATGACATTTACTTAAAATTCATCCATAGAATTGAAAACATGAATCAAGGCACAATAATTAACACTGTTCTCTCCCATGGCTAATAAAGAGCATTTCAGACTTAGGCTAGTGGATAGTCCCAATTATTTACAGTTCTTACATTTTTTTTTTCCTAAATCCTGCAATAATAAACATCACAGGAAGGAAGCAGTGTATCTGCATCTGCCACCAAACTGGAATGAGGCTCCCTGCTGGCTTTCTATCTACTGTACATGGGAAAGCACAGGGACCCACCTGAACAGAAGAGTGCACCCATGAAACCCTGACTTGCTCTACCTTACTGCTTTAGCTGGTCTTAGTTTGGGAAGAGCTTGCCACTGTGTCCATTGCCCAATTGCTTTAAAATACCAAATCCTGTTTAATCAGAGATTTTCTAAGTGTCTCCAGTTTGGATCCTGTGTAGCCAGATATCATAACAAGCAATTCTACCACAAGAACTTCAGCTCTCAGACAAAAAAATTCAGAGATACCCTCTGCCTCCACTTTTCCTTCTACGACATGCTCTGCTCAAGGCAGGGTTTGTGATCAGAACTTATTTATACTACAATAACCACAGCTGCTGAAATTATTATTAGTCACCCTGCTGTATCTTGCTAACTACTTTTTAGGCATCATTCAAAGATAAAAAATTGTGCACCACCTTTAAACATGAAGTAAAAGAGCTCAGAACCACAAACAGAACAACAACCAAGCCAACCTTTTCAGCTGCATGTATCAATGCAGTTGTTCCATTTTTCTGTCTACCATTAACTTTAGCTCCTTTCCTGATCAGCACCCGCAGAAGGTCGTCGTGCCCTCCAGCAGCAGCAAGCATTACCAGGGTCATTCCACTTGGGTCCTGGGAAAAAAATCATTGCCATTACAGAAGAATAACATTAGAAAAAAAACCAACCAAACAAACAAAAATCTTCAAGATAAATTAAAGCTGCAAGACAAAAATTTCAAATGCATTAACATGTTTCACAAAGATTTCCCTCCCTGGCAGAAGAATTCACACATACATGGCTGCCAGATAGCAGCAAACTATCACCTCCCACTTCTCTGGTCCGCAGGTCTCACACTCTGAGCTCCAAAATCTGTAACATTCTAAATAACATTTAAAAAAACCCAAACAAACAAAAAACTTCAAGGTAAATTAAAGCTGCAAGACAAAAATTTCAAATGCGAATAACATTAGAAAAAAAACCAACCAAACAAACAAAAATCTTCAAGATAAATTAAAGCTGCAAGACAAAAATTTCAAATGCATTAACATGTTTCACAAAGATTTCCCTCCCTGGCAGAAGAATTCACACATACATGGCTGCCAGATAGCAGCAAACTATCACCTCCCACTTCTCTGGTCCGCAGGTCTCACACTCTGAGCTCCAAAATCTGTAACATTCTGAGGATCAGAACAAGAAGCAGAAAAACCAGAATGAACCAGGAAGAAAGGCTTTAAGGTATTTGAGGGTGGGGAAGACAGCAAGACTGTCAGCACCCATGGAGAAAAACCACTATGGCTCAAGTCAGCTGCTCCCACAACACTGCTTTTTGATTTTATCAGAGTGTAAGTACAAGGACACTCTAACCAGCCAGTCTCCTCATTCATTCCTGCATTTTTCACCAGACCTTACAACTCACAGAACACATGCTGGCCTCAGTAGTTCAGTTCTCATCTTCCCTACGACACCTCAGAAGTCTTAGCATAATGTGGAGTTCTCAAAATGCTACATAACACAGCTACACAAGATCACCAGTGAAAATATCAATACTGGAACTACAATCCTATTTAACAAGAAGATAGATCTTTGAAATAAACCAAATAAGAACACAGCTGATGACAAACAGAAAACTAATTATGAAGTGAAGTGGTGTCAAACAACTTGCAAGTTTTTGGGCTTTTCAGAGTTTTGTTTCCCATGTACAATGTTTTACAGTTGTGACACTTCAGTCACTTGTACTGACGGTTATCGTTCCTAATAGCATGCAAAGTTGCACATGCAGTCAGTTAAATACACTGGGCAAGTTGGCTGGAAAGCTACTGGGAGAGTTCTATCAAACTTCATTTTTTCTTGGAAGAAATGGATAACAAATACTGAAACTTCCAAGCCTGTACTCCTTTTTGACACCCTGTGCTTTTTTACTTGGGTGAGATGGAAATCTGCTACAACATAGGAGGGGAAAGCTTCTCAAACAAATCAAAATTTGTATTCTTCCCTGCTACTGTCTTCCAATACTTCCACTGCACAACAGTTACCTCTTGATCCAAATTATATTCCTCATTTGAAGAAAGCGCCATTTTCACTGTCATGTAGTCTCCACTTTTAACAGCATCTCTCAGGAGAGCTAGAAAATAAATTCAATGTTGTTATAGGATATTTCCTTTTGAAATGTCAGCTGAGAAATACCCTTTCTTGCCAGAAAATACTCACCACTGGATATTGGTTCTGTTGATACATGATTCTCATCTTCTCCATCAAGATGCTTCTGGAATTCTTCTAGTGTCAGCCATTCTAACTGCATGTCCATACCCAAACTCAGGACTTGCTGCTTGCCATCTATCATGTGTTTGTGGAAGGAAAAAAAGAAAAGTAAAATAAGTAACAAATTGTAAATTTTCAAGCTAATGAATGTTTGCCCTAGCTTCAATGATCATCAGCTTAACAAACGAGTACTGCAACTTTTCATTCAAATAAACCTTGGCAGTCAGCATAGAATGGTCCTCAGCAGCAAAGGCTACATTACAAACAAACATAAAAAGCTTTTACTTGAAAGAAGCTGCTAATTTGTTGTAATAAATAAGGCTGAAGTGATTATTCAATGGAGGTGAACACTCCATTGCTGTAGCAGCAGAAGCACTGGAAACACACTGAAAAGGTATCAGTGAGCTTCAAGAAAACTTCACTTCAGCCCCCTGCAGAGACAAGAACTGGAGCACTAGAGATGCAAGCAGGAATGCAGAAAATCTCAGCTCCCAGTGTTCTCCATTGGACACACATCCACTACTTCTCAATCACCTTCTGTAGCAATGCAAGTCCATCTCTTTGCTTCATCTCTTATATTTCTCCTTTCCTGGTACACCTTGCTCTTTTAATTCTTCTATAAATTTCTATCCTAGCAAAGATTCTTCTCTTTTGCAGTTATTCTCATAATATTCACTTTTTTCTTTCTTCTGAAGCTACATTAAACAACTAAAATGCACTTTTGATGACCTTAAAGCCTAGAATATTAAGACAGTTACCAAGAGTGACTACTTGAGCCAGTAAAGACTGTTACATAACAAAATTTAAGTACATGACCAGCACCAATTTAGAAAAGATCTGCTCTCTTTCTGTAAGGCATTGGAGCACAGGAGCAAGCTTAACATAAGACAAAAGTCAAGGAGAGTTAGTCCACCTCCACCTACCCTGCCAGGTCTGAGTTCTGACTGCTTTCAACATGGTACCATCTTCCTTTTAAGAAATGCACTTTAGAATTATGCATAAATTACTACTTTTGAAGTACAGTTCAGTATCTGTGATGACGAGACAAAGGACAAGTGCTGCACAGAAACAATCATTAATCATGCTGCTTCTTACTATTTTTCTTAAGCACTGTGAGCATCTATGCTACTTTCAGAAGAAAGTGTTTCCCTAGTGAAGGAATTTGTCCTGAAAAAAGTAATCCAGAGCTGTTCTGAGATGAAGAACAATAATACTAATGATTAGAAATCCTACTATTAGGAACAGAAACAGAACCTAGACATTTTTTGTTGTGGATCTAACCATCCAGGGTTGTATAACACAACTTGTCTCTGTGGCTAAAGCAGGAGGCAAGACATTTGTCTGATGGGACCCCCTACTAATTTTTCTAACTATAAAAAGTATATGTGCATAATATCAACTGAACACTTCTGAAAACAGCCAATAGCTGGATGAATTCCTCTAAAAAAAAAGTTACTATTACATGCCAGAGAAGCACCATTGTCAAACTTAAATTAGAAAGGGCAAAATCTTGACTTGTCTAATAACTGTCAGAGACTTCTATATAGTTCTGTGCTTCATACATGAAGCATACATTAACATTCTCATGAAGCATGTATTAGCTAAGCCATAAACCACAAGACTTTTGCTTCTTAAAATAAACACAGAATTCCTTACTTCTTCTTGTGTGTGTGTGTGTTACAAAACTACACAATATTTTGTAGAAATACAAAGAGAATGCCCTGAAGGGTCATTCCCTTTCTCTGTTTCAAGAAGTTAGCACTTACTTTTTATGACTTTCTGTTCTTTTCTGGTTTTTTCTTCTTTTTCAGGCTCCTTTTTTTGAGATTTTTCTTTAATTTCAGTTTTCTTTATTTCTTTTTCCTAAAATTGAAAACAAAGACCAAATTTTAGCGGTGGACAAAAAACCAGAAAATAAACTCCTTTCACCACTCCAACAATAATGTATATTTACAATTAATACTACTGAAACCTATATGCAACAGATTTGTAGACATTCCTAAGAATTAAACAGGTGAGTCAGGAGTTAAGTCTGTGGAGGTTTCTTCCCTAACAGTGGGGGTATTATTTCCTGAACACAGTAACTTCAATTCATGATTTACTGCATCCCAGCCATTCAAGTTGCCTTATGGAAGAGCTGCAGACAGGACAAAACCAGAATTTTGAAGGAAATTCAAAATTAGGAACTGTTTGTTTGTTCCAAATAGTAAACCTGAATGGAATGTAATTATTCAGAGTATTTAACAATTTTGTAGCACCGTATTTGAAGCATTATGATGTCATTGAGTTGAACTTCAACTGAGAAAACTTGACAGTTGGACACAAAAGGTTCCAAGCTTTGCAATTTACACAGACAGAATGTTATGGCAACAGTTATTTGTGAAAAACAGACACTCAGCAAAATCCACCCAAATTCATGATATCCCTGCAGAAGTTCAAGCTTAGCAGTATCTAATATCACAGTAAAAATTTATTGTAGATGTAAATATATAATCATATTTGCCAAAATGAAATTAAGCTTTCTTTACCAAAGTTTGCCTTTCTCCTCCTGTAATCCTCTCTCTCCACTCACCAAATTCACTGCAGAGAGTTGGACAAGGATCCTTGGCATGGCCTTGTATCAGTCTCTGACACTAACCTGGCACAGGGAGTAGCACTGTTTTCTGAAAAACTGCCCCAAAAGAAGTCCTCACAAAAATTTATATATATGCTACCATGTGACAGAGCAAAAACCTTAATTAAACCAGACTGATTTGGTGTATCATTATGTATTAGCAGAGCTGAGAGATTTAATTGCTTTCCTCACCACCCCCCTTCCCTCCACAAACCTTGGCTTTTGATCACTGACGTGATTAATGCCGTTAATGCCAGCTGTTCATCCTGCCAGATGTTTGGTATTTAAGAGGAAATCCATAACTTACTAAAGGGACTACCAGATATGTGCTACAGTGGGGCTGTTAAAATCAGTAACCCTGAATTCTACACCAGCTTTCTAATGCTGATCAGATGCAGAACATACCCATTTTTTTTCGGAGGCAAATGAAATGGAAGGAATGGGTCAGCATACAAACTGACCCCAATCAGAAAATACTGTTATAAACTGACATGATTGGTGCTCCATAAGCAGGGTTACATAAGGAAAGACAGGTACCTGAAATATAGACAACTTTTTTTGAGAGGTATCATCTGTTTGGGCCAACAATTTAGTGAACAAAAAAACCCCCGCAGAACTTTCCACCAAACCCACCCATGCAAGTCCACAGCTGCTCCAGAGAATATCTAACTGTGGGAATCCATGGAATTAGAGGATTTTAGATAACATCTAACCAGTTACAGGAAACACTGTTTAAGCCTTCTACACTGAAAAGAAGCAAAGAGCAGAATGCCTTCCATACTTTGCTGGTACCTCAGAGCATGACCTTCCTTGGAGCACAACAAAAGCATAGAGACAACTCACTGAGGATGCTGAGTGAAGAGCCAAAAGCAAACCCACTGTCCTCTGCTGCTCATTTATTCATGGTCAAGGTGAGAGGATTTTTATACTACTGGTAAACAGAACAGAATTCCAAAGATTTTTTCTATTCGTGCCTCTCTCTCACAAACACTATAGCCTTGAACTACAAGTAAAACATTTGGGTAATAAAGGACCATATCACTTCAACTAATTAAACAGCTTTCTGAAACTGGCCTATGCCTCACAGCCATTCCTTCTTTTCCAGAACTTCCAACACTAAGATTCTGCAAACATACTCTTCTGTGTAGCTTTACTCTGAGATTATGCCACAGAATTCTCTAGCCCCAAATATGGGGGATAGAGAGTAGGTCACCCTTATTTAAGGTGACCTACTCCATACACAGAACAATCACAATCTTCTGCTTAACCTGCAGAAGAAACTTTCCACCATGGAATTATGGTCTCAGAAGTGGGATATGGTCCAGTAAGCATCAATGTGTTTTGGCTGCAATTCTCTAAAATCAGAACATGGCTGCTCTGAGCAGACAATGTTTTATGAACTGCAAACTGTATTACAACAGGCTGAAGCAGATGAAAGAAATTATATTCCCAGAAACATAACAAAAAATATTTTTGTCATAATTTTCTTCTTTTGCCTTTACAATACTGCTTTTCTTAAACCACTGCTGTATTAAATAAGGAAAATTAAATGTCCTGGTATTTGCTTAGCTCATTTCTTACAACAGGTACAGCATTTCTATTTCTATTTAATATGAAACCATGTCATGAAACTAAGCATTTGCTGTAAGCACTCCAGGAATTCTAACAAGACAAGCCTGCTACACAATTATCTGGGAGACCTGGGATTCAGAAGTGATTTCAGCATTCCAGTTCTCAGGTAGGAGCCACCACATGTAAGCACTGATGGAATGGTCAGTGCCTGAGAGAGCAAGTGTTGCTCAATGCTGTTCTGCCTTACTACACGAGCAGAAAAAAGTCAGATGAGGAAACTCTTGAAGGTGGGCACAAACAAAGCTAAAAACAATAGCATGCCTAGCAAGAACAGGAAATTTCATTCTAAGAAGATACAGTAAATGGAATAAATTTATCCTTTAACATTTGTGCTCTCCTCAAGCATTCCCCCCTTTAGAGTGTTCAGAATCCAGAAATTTGCCAGTCTCTATTATACATTGTGCAGTGGGTGTTTCTTTAAGTTCACGCAGCTCAGTACCTTTCCAATTTGTACTTTTCTCTTTGCCATCATGAACAGTCATGATTTGAGGTATCTGTACCTTGAAGATGACTGATTTTACCCCCATCCCCCACCCCAACCCTGCTTACCTCCCCAGGGGAATCCATGGGCTTGCACACCCTTTCATCAGTGCTCAATTTCAAACCCTTCTGCACTGGTGAAGGAGCAGGTGACACTTTCTCCAGCTCTCCTGGTACTTTTTCTTGACCTGTTTGCTTTTTGTGCATGCTCTTCTTCTCTAGATGAGTATCCTCAATTTCTACTCTTCCAATTTCTTCTCTACAGTCTTCTGCTTTCTGAATTTTTTTCTTCTTTCTTTTAGCCCTAGTATCAATACCATCATCTTCATTACTTGTTGATCCATCCAGACATTTATCAGTAATGGCATCTTTTTCATCAATTTCTTGTTCCAATCTCTCTTCTTCACTTATTATCTTTTGTTCCTCATCTTTATTTTCAGAATTCATGTTTGAATTTTCATTATCAGTTCCTTGAGAAATTGAATCATCCACAGTGCTTGAGTCCAACTGAACATCTCCATGCTTCTCCTTCTGTGATTTTTTATTTTCTTTAGAATCTTCTTTAGGTTTTACTTTTAAATCTTCTCCCTTCCTTTTCTTGATGTCTTTAGTATCTTCTTTCCTTTGCTTCTTTGGGTCCTTTGAATCCTCCTTAGTTTCTGAAGTCCTTTTTTTTGGCTTTGAATCTAAAACCAAAGTATCTGAGGAATTTTCACATTCTGTTCTGGGTTTTTCCTTGAGTTTTGCAGACTTAGATTTCTTCTTCTTCAGGTCATCTGAACTTTTATCCTCTCCCTCTTTTGACTTCTTCTTTTTCTTCTTTGGTGAAACATCATCTTTTGTTTCACTTTGCAAGTCACTGTCAGACTCTGCTTCAAATATATCATCATTTAGAGGTGGTTTCTAAAAGGTAAAGAAAAAAAAAATTAAGTTTTTCCTTCCCCAATAAACTATCACTTTGGTACCAAATATACAAAAATGGTAGTGGTTGTGCTTGGGAGAAAAAAAAATTTAAGCACTTTAAACTTTTGATCCCTGCCAAGATCATTCCTTACTGCCAAATTGCAAAATGTGATAATACAATTCTAGCTTACTTACCTAAATTACATTTCTAACTGCTTGGATGAGAATCAATACACAAACAATTCAAGTAAACCAATTACACATCCAACAACCACATTCTAGAACAGAACTAAATCTCAGCTATTTTACATCAAAAACAATGGATTTGATTTTGTAGGATTTACCTACAGGTTTCAAAGAAGCAGGGTACCAGTTTTCAAAAAGGATCCTTACACTGCTTTTTCAGGCTAACCGAGCTGTTAAAAAGAAGAAAAGGAAAAGCTATATTCTGCCCTCTGCCCTCTAATCTTTCTGTATTCCTCTCTTATCAAACTTAATGATTCCATGCTAAAACTCACTGATCTCCTATAGAAAGCAGAAGGATGACTGGAACACTGTGCCCCGCTTCAGTGACAAGACAATATGCATGTGGATAGGGAAATAGGGCTATTTATGTTGTCAAAAACAAACTAAAATGACCATATATTACTTACACAGTCCCATTAGAAATGAAATTGAACTTTAGATGGATTCAGTCTACAAGCAAACTTGTCAGCAAAAAAAAATCCCTACCAGAGAACACATTTAGTTTCACAAGGAACAAAGTAGTTTTGGAAGAGATTTTTTAATTCCACATTCCAAATGCCTTCCCTTCTCCCCTCCTCTCATTAGTAGAGCCTGAATAGGGATTATGTCTCCAGTGTAAGATACTGGAAGCTGAAACACACCTGTATGATGTCTTTTTTAACAGGTTTAGGCTTATTATCCATAATCTTTTTTCTGAATTCAAGAAGCACTTCTTTGCAATCTTCCAAGTGAGCCTCTGGTTCCCAGGTATCATCATCAGAGGTGTATCCTTTCCACCGGACTTTATAGAGAGTTTTACCCTGTAAGAAAAACCACAACATTTAACACAATACAGCACGGTATTGCATCAGCTAGTCAGTTCTTGAGGATGTCAGTGGAGATACAACTTTGTGTATATAAAAATCAGCATTTCTGTAGTTGGAATAGCTTTATCCAAAATACTTCCAGTATCTAACATTTTTTCAGAACCACAGCTACAATGTACATATCATAAATTCCCAGTCAGTTTATCAAAATGGGTTTTCTGACACTTATGAAATTATTTTTAAAAAAGTTTTAATTTTTCTTCCATAAAAACTTTAAGCTTGACAGTTTTCTCTTTGCTGAATAACCTTTAAGACTTCTAATGAATTAACACCATTCACCAAATTTCATATTAGAATTTATAATTTATGATATATTTATAATAAATTATATTTTTGATAAACTGAAATACCAACAATTAGAGAAAAAACCTCAGCAATGAAATCAGGTTAAACCTAGACAAAAATCTGAGTGTGTGCATCTCAGTGGAGTTAGTTACAAAGATTTTGGTAGATTACATACAAGAATCTGAGACAAATTGCTTCAACAGTATTGAACTTCACTGAGGGATAAAATTGCACCTTGGAGTCCCTATCTAGTTTTTTCTACTAAATTACAAAGTTCTTTACCATTAAAAAAAATTTTTTTTGGCAAATGTACTTAGGAAAGTACCTTTGGAGAGGCAAAATAGTACCTCTCACTTTCAATCATGGACTGATAATGCTCTGAAAGACCTTACAGTGCTAACCAAGCCTGGAGAAAAAAGCTTCAACGAGAATTGCCAATTGGTACTTACTGCTAAATGTCTACGATAAATTTTTGCTTGAGCATAATTAATCCGTGACCAAGTGTATAAACAAGTGTATAAACTTCAGCAACCAACTAACCAACTAATCTATTTATAATCTTCTGTATTTTGCTTCACAGAAGCAAAATGTCTGCTTCACAGACATCTAAATAAATAAATAGCCTATATTCAAACACCTTAGTTTAATGTTTCTCTTAGAATTTAGCTTAACCCATCTCACTTGATTTAGGAGTTAAGTTTCCAAAATCATATTCCCCTCTCCTCCTTCTTCTACTAGGGTTACATACAAAACAAGCAACCAGTGACTGCCTCGTTACAGTCACAGCGTGTGTTAGGTTATAAAAGATCTCCAGAGCTAACAAGTAAAATGTCCTCTCAGAGCAGCACTGCCTGCATCAGGCTGCTCAGGTATCTGCCCAGTCAGTGTATCCAAGCAGGTTTCCCTGTCTTCCAGCTTGTGTCCTCTGTCGGTCTCATCCCTTCCCTGTGCACCCCCAAGAAACATCTGATTCTGTCCTCTCTACATCTTCCTGTCAGACACAGATATTACTGTGATCTCCCCTCATTCTCCTTCTCTTACAGCAAAGCAAATCCAGCTCTCAGCTTCCTGTGTTCATTGTCCTTCTCTCTGCTATGCACACGTCCTTCTGTCCTGGGGAGCTCAGAACCTGACACGGTACTCGGGATGCTTCTCAGCAGTCTGAGAAGAGAGCACGAAGCATCTCTTGCTCTTCTGGCTGCACTCTTGGACGCTGCTGGCCTGCTCTGCTGCAAGAACTGCTGACTCACATTCACCTTACTTGCCTGTGGGGATTCCTAGCTCCTGTCCTGCAAATCTGTGTCCCAGCCAGATGGACTCTCACCTGCCTGGTGGCACAAGGTTTTTCCCTTTCAGATGCAGGACTTCTGCTAGCTCCAGAGTTAGGAACATCCTTGCAACTCAGGTACTAAATATACTATAAGTCTTTTTTTCATTAATTGAGAAAGTTACATGAAGTCTAATGCAAACACAAAACCATGTGGCTGCTGAACGACTCCATCCTGTACATGGAGAGTAACAGAAAAATGCAGCTTGGGATAGTTTTACAAAATTCAGCTTAAGTGAAGGCAGAAGACTGATTCTCACAGAGACACAGTCTTACACTCACCTATCAACACTCTCTCACTCAATACTGGTTTTTTCTCCCCTCTGTAATCACTTAATTAGAAAAAACAGAATGCTTCCAAGCATTTTTATATTGCTCTAGCTTCTGTGAGAACTAGTGATGAGCTAGAGCCAACTTGTATGGAAAAGGGTACCACCATGTCATTAAACAGCAGAATTAACAATTTCCACTTCCAGTGGGCAACACCAGAATTTGCACCAGAGCCTGTTCCAGTATAACTGAGGTGCAGTATGAAAATCTTTACTGATGCACTGAGAGACTACATTTCCAACCTTTCACTGCTTGTCCTCTTAAGTAGGTCACGTTAATGTTTTATTTATCTAACTCCGCAGCCCAATCCCAACCCAGGCGTGCCGTCTCTCATCCATCACTACTGCCAGGCCCAACAACAGCAGTTCTGCGTGTGGGAAGAGCATCTCCGTGCAGGGCTCTCCGGCTGTGACACTCGTTCTGTGGCACACAGCACTGACCCTGACCTGCCTCACTGCGGGGACACACGGCTCTCCCCAGCCCTGCTGGAAATCACACCCGAGCGTGAGCTCCTGCCTCGCCCGCGCCTGTGGAGCGCAGGCACGGCAGCAGAGCCACTGAGAGGGCACTGGTGGCTCTGGGGCTCAGGGCACAAAGGCACAGCCAGCGAGCTCTGGAGCTCAGAGCAGCCTGCAGGACTCAGGCACAGGGCTGGGAGCTGCAGAACGGGCGAGTGCTGGGCTGGGAAAGAGACACCGGACCAAGAGCACGGACCAAGGGCGCTTCCAAGAGATGGACTTGACGTATCCCAGTATTCTTTAGTACTCTTCAATGTCTCACCACCACGACCACCTACAGATCTCAGGTGAGTGGAAAGAAAAAAAAGAAAGGAATCCTCTTGTTTTCCAGCCTGACTCATGCTGACCAACACTTCACACGGGCAAAGCCATAACGCAGGACTCGGGCACAGGGCTGGGAGCTGCGGAACGGGCGAGTGCCGGGCTGGGAAAGAGACACCGCTGCCAGCACGGGCCAAGGGCGCTTCCAAGAGATGGACTTGACGTATCCCAGTATTCTTTAGTACTCTTCAATGTCTCACCACCACGACCACCTACAGATCTCAGGTGAGTGGAAAGAAAAAAAAGAAAGGAATCCTCTTGTTTTCCAGCCTGACTCATGCTGACCAACACTTCACACGGGCAAAGCCATAAATACTGCATTATCCTGAAAACATAACATAATCTCAGCACGTCGACATGTTTCAGCTAAGGTGCAATTTAATAACATAACAAATATTGAAGAAAATGCTGATCAAGATTCAGATCTTTTACATGGAATTGACAGAATTTTATAATGTCATGTACCTGACTGAAGCCTAAAATAAAAAGCATCAATTAATTAAAAGAAAACTCTTTCAGGCACAAAATAATTTAGAAAACCTCTGTGTTAATTATTTTTTCTATTTGAGGTTTAGGAAAATTTTTAAAGAACTTCAACCAGTCCAGGTAGTACTAATCAAGGCCTGCTATTTCAGTTTAAACAATGCAAGATGACTATTATTTATTATCTTAATTGGAAGAAGACTTCTATTTCAGGAGGTCTTCCCCCGTTTTGTCTGAACGTGGTCCCTGGCAACACACCTTGAAAACGCCTCTAAGTGTTCAACCCTGCCCATCCCTGCACTAAAACACCTCACACCAAAATAGTACCGCACTTCAGCGCCATGAGCAGTTTAACAATGCAGACAATAACCAACAACTTAGTAAAGACTTCTCTTTGGCTGGGGAGGCTGGATCCGGAACAAGGCACAAAAAGCCTCCTTGCACAGCGCGGCTCACATCCCAATTTACCGGGATTCCTCCTTTCCCGCGCCCCTCGCCCGCTGTAAGGGACCCGCGCACTCACCCCCTCGATCTTCACGTCAAGGATCTTCTCCACCTCGAACACGTCCTCCCCGTCCTCCTCCTCGTCCTCCTCGCTCTCGCCGCCGCCAGCCTTCCCGCCGGCGGCTGCCGCAGCGCCCGTCGCTTTGCCCGCCCTGCCGCCGTCGTCCTCCCCGTCCTCCTCATCCTCCGCCGCCGCCGCGGCCGCCGCCGTCTCCTCCTTTCCCTGCGCCCCGTCCAGCCTGGCCGCCGCCGCCGCCTCGGCCCCGCTCCCGGTCGCCGCCGCCATCTTGGGCCGAGTTCGCACGACAAGGGCGCAGAGCGGTGCGACAGCGGCGGCACGGCGGGGGGCGGGGCAGCGCCCGCCCCAGCCAATGGCCACGCGCGCAGCCCGTGACGCACGGGGCCGCGTGCCGGGCTGGGGAGGCGCCTCAGGGAGCGTCCCGGCGCAGCCTCGCCCGGGAATGGGAGCAGCTCCGCCCGGGGACGGGGACAGCTCCGCGGGGACAGCTCCGCCCGGGAATGGGGACAGCCCCGCCCGGGCACAGGGACAGCTCCGCCCGGGGACGAGGATAGCTCCGCCCGGGGATAGGATCAGCTCCGCCCGGGAATGGGGACAGCTCCCGCGGGAACGACGGGCTCGGAGCCACGGCCGACCTGGCCCTGGGCACCTGCAGGCATGGGGCAGCCACCGCTTCTGTGTGGCCTTGGACGCTTCCAGTCGTGGGGCATCCACAGTTTCTCTGAACAACCTGTGCCAGTGCCTCACCGCCCTCACAGGGAAGAATTCCTTCCTAACGTCTAATCCGAATCTCTTCTCTGTAGTTTAAAAGCATCCGCACCCCACCTTGCCCTATCGCTATCTGCCCGTCACTCTTCCTCTTTTTTGTAATCCCTCCCTAGGTATGGAAGGCGCAGTGAGTTCTCCCGGGAGCCTTCTCCAGACTGAATAATCCCAACCCGCTCAGCCTGTCTTCCTCCATCCCTCTGATCATCCCAGTGTCCCTCCCCTGTACTCGCTCCAGCAGTCCCTGTGCTCCCTGTGCTGGGAGCCCAGAGCTGGAGCAGCCCTGCAGGTGGGCTCTGAGCAGAGCAGAGGGGCAGAATCCCCTCCTGGCCCTGCTGCCCACCACTGGATGCAGCCCAGGGCACTTTTGGCTCTCTGGGATGTGAGAGCACACTGACAGCTCGTGTACAGCCTCTCATCCATCAGCATCACCCAATCCTTCTCAGCAGGGCTGCTCTCAGTGAGCTCTTCTTCCATGCTTGGGATCGCACCAATCCAAATGTAGCATCTTCCTCGTGGACTTGTTGGATCAAAGGTATTTTTTGCCCTCAGCTGGATGAGGTTTTGGAGAAATGCACAAGAAAGATGTACATGGACATCTCAGGACAAGGTCCTGTTTTGCCATTGATAGGGTTTCTTACTAAAAAAAAAAATTTAATTTCATAGTATTTTGCATGTTAAAGCACTTGGCAACTGTAGCTTTTTTATGTAACATGTAGAAGGAAAATAAAAGAAGTCTTGTAAGATAAAGCAAATAAATCACGCCTTATTTGCCTTTTCCTTCCACTGCCTTTTGCTAGAGGCAGAGTGTTAGTATGTTGGATCTCAGAGATCCTTAGGGAACACACATCACTGAACCAAAACTCGGGTTTTAGCGTGAATGTGTATTTCCAAACACACATACCCACGTGGGATGTACTGCTGCAAAAGTGACAGACATACTGAAGAAAAAAACAATTGTTCCTATTTTTGCCAGCACGTGCTTTCTAAGGTAACTCTAGTAATGGAGCAATTGACCATGCAAAGACTGAACAGCAGATTTGGAAACTAGTTTATCATTGTCTCTATTAAGGAGTCCTTCTAGTTTTTAAGAAACCCATATCCTAGCTCTTCTCATAGTGTAGTACAACTATTTCCTTTGTATTTTTACTAAAAAGAGCCATTGTCTTCCATCTTGAAAACAAAGACTCAGAGTGCCTTGGAAACAGAAGGACATTGGGATAGCCCTCCTGGCAAGGTCCTCTGCATGGTCAAGTGTATCTACTCCAGCCTTAGCCTGTTTGCTTAAATTCTCAGGAAGACCTCTATGGAAAAGGTTCTGCAGATTTCCTTAGTAACCTCTTCATTCTGTGTAACTGCTGGGGAGCATTCTTCATTTGCAAGGGCAGTATCAGGCATTACCTATGGTACTGTTGAATCCCCTGCTTCTGAATATTTTCAAAGGATGGACAAACAAGTGTGGCATACGCTCCATACCCACTTGATCCCTCAGTGCAAGCCATTGTGGTGTCTCCAACTACATTTCATCAGATCACAAAGTACCAAAGCATTGTTCTGTGCAGCTCCTTAATTTGGAAGATGTAGTGTGTTCATTAAACACCTGTGAAAAGCCCATGAAATGAAAATAAATGTTAGTCTGGTTTTGTTATTAGGCTACAGTGTTTGGTCTGGTATAAAATAAAATTAATTAATCAGCATAAAATCAGAATACAGTGTTACAGCAGGAAAGAAAGAGAGATCTCTTTCCTCCTAACAAAACTGACCTATGCATTCACAAATAAACCTATGGTCAGTAAGAAAAGCAGTGCAGTAGAAAAATATCTGTTCTGCTGTTTGCATTTCGAGGCACACTGTAGGAATTACAAAACCACCCAGTTAGGAACAATGATATATTATAAAGCTATTTATTAGTTCCTTGTTAATCACACTCTTCTACCTGCCAAAACATCTCCTGCCATACTTCACTGAATTGCTACATTATGCTTTACTGTGCCATCTAAGTACAGAGATTTTAGCAGAAATCAATACAAAGACATTATAAAAGTGCTTTACAATGCACAACAAACTAGAAATTAGCATGAAAAATTAAATATTAAGGTATTTTAAACAGTTACAGGTAAGCAAAATATGACATATATGTAAAAACAACATTTAATAACTGTAAGACCCTTTGTTTCCATACCTTAAAGTGTGTGACTTTGAAAGTTAATATTTAGTAATAATATAAGATCAAATGTCCTCAACTTAAACATTGTATGTAAAACTGAAAGGAAAGCTAACTCTGTTATTATCTTAAAGAATGATGGCATTAAATATTTTATGCAGAAGGATAATTCATGTTAAAGTTGATATCTATTCTCTCCTTGGTAGCAGAATCCCAATCTTTCCCAAATTCAGCTTGATAGAAATTGCCTTCTTACCAACTCTATTGCTTTCTTCATCAACACAAAACCCAATGAACACCACTGTGAGTAGTAATGAGGTTTCATTATAATAAAATCCTATAAGTCCACCAAAAGAGCAGGAAAAAAGTAAGTTATTCTAATGACAATTTTTTTAAAGACAAAATTTTCTATAGTATGATTATCCAGCATGTATAAAATATAATCTGATGCAGAATGAGTAATATAATTCCTCAAAAGAGGAAGGAAGATTTCCAGGGCTCTCCTGACTGTTTCTGTATCCTTTTCCTACATGCCCAGTAAAGTATGAAGTGTATACATCATCTTCTTTTGGCAAGGAATCTATTATATATTGGTTATAAAATCCTTTAATATAGCCATTGAATCTCCATGAGGATATTAGTCTTTGTCTGTTGAGAGGATTTATAGATAAGGTTTTTTTTAAATGCACACCTTCAATTAGATGAATCTTCCAATTTCATTGGTGTTTTGAAAACTATCCCTTTCAGTTCCTTTGTGCATCCTATGAACTGTGGCACAAGAACAGTAGCAATCAATGGCAGTAGCTTTTCTTTTCCATTTGGAACCAAGGAAGAAGAAAAGGGAAGCAACATTACTGTTTAAATTATTTCTTGACAACAATAAAGGCACTTTCTGCCAAGGCCTTTAAACAGCATTTGCCTAATGCTAGTAAATTGTTTCACGATGCAATCACTACTAGGGAGAGAATTCCAAAATATATATTTAGGGGGAAATAATAATCAGATGTGATTGTGCTTGTTATTAGGGCAAATTTACTTCAAATAGACTAAATTACAGAAAAATCTTAAAATCTGGCCTAAAGAAAAAAAAAAAGTTGTGTGTTAAGAGTTCTGCAATGATAAGCATTCCATACAAAAAGCATTCTTTAGAATATAACCAAAGTGATTTACTTACTGCAGTAAACATCTTCAGTAGTGCCAAATCATGTATGATGTTCACTGAAAATGAAGAAAATTCTGTGAAATCTGTGAGTAAAGACTGATTTTAAGACCATTAAAATATTAGGCATGGAGCAACAATATGGAAACACAAGCTTAAGATTTGTGACTGGAATATCAGAATAGAAGTATTACAAACTGCCACACATTCCTGGTCATGGTTCAGTGTGTTTTGCTGTTTTGATAATGACAATGTGCATAAGATTAAGCCATGACAAGAAAGTAACAGCTGGCTCTTGGGTAAAAAGGAAATAAAGGAGCTTTGTTTCAAGAGGAACTTCTATATCAATCCAAATTTGACTGTATTCATTCTTTCTCTGGAAAAAAAAAGATTCCAAAACATGTAAAGCAATTGGCTTTGCTTGGTGTAGAGCTGAACCTTCCATAGCATTTGAGCAATATATTAAAATAAGAATTTAATTGGACAGCTTTTCAAATGCTGTTTTGAACTCTGGTTGAAACAGAAGCATGCAAGCTTGCAGAAGGAGAAGCAAAATCATCAGGGCAGTGAACAAATATTATTTCATTACAAGTGTACCAAAACATCTTCATTATTATTTTGGAATAAGAGCAGAATACAGCTATATTTTAGAGTTTTAACAAATATATGTATAATTTACTTCTAATGCCTGAAAAGTGAAAATTCCCTGTCCTTTACCTATATGTCAGGTATCACATGAAAAACTGAAAAAGGGATTCTGTGGTTTCATGCTCTTATCCAATTTACTCTTCTGCAAACAGCACTGATTCTAAATCTTAAAAAAATCACAGATATAATCTTTTAGTCATCACTGCCACCATCAGTTTTTGAGAAGTACTAGAATTAAAAACAATGTGTAAACCAGAAGTGCATACTGTTCTTGCTAAGAACAGAGATGCTATAAAAACCAAAGGTTTTCAAAAATGGAACAATGAAATACCTGAAGAATGAAAGAGTTTCCACTAGGTAAGGAAAGGTTTGCATAAATAGGAATCACTTTCTTTCTCCTTTCCTTGAGGAAATTGCTGTATTATTGCAGCCATCACAAAGAAATCCCAAAACTAATATGTTTAAACTAAGCAACACTGATGAAAAGAAAGAATAAGAAAAGACATCATGGTTGGAAAGAAAATATTATCTGTCATCTTACTTATTTTAATCAATTTCAACACTGGATGGATAGATTGGTCATGTGAAGACTTTGCCTTTTACCTCTGCAGCATTTTATCTTAAGGCAAAAAATATATAAAAAGGAGCTGAAAATAACTAAAAGTGTCAGGGACTTTATAAATGTGTGGGACAATAATAACCTGGAATCACATATTTTAAGATATTCTCTTGAGTTTTAAGTGTATTTCTCAGGCAAGGAATTTTTGTGAGTGAAAGTAAGAGGGGTTGAATTGATTTCTCCTTTCCTACCTAACCTTTTATTAATGCTTTCCAGTGGTGATAATGAGCTTTTCTGTGACACAGCCATACCTGGATTCTGTTTGTGGGTGCTTCAGAGTGCTAGAAGTGCCACCTATGTCCTTTTCACTTTTTAGTGAAAAAAATTCAAATACCTTTGAGAAAAATCACTGTAGCAGCAAAAACTGCAGTAGAATGCAAAATCTAGGAAGGCCACATGCCCTAGAAAAAAATACTGACAGATTCTATAAATATTTGTGTGTAAATTGTAAATACAGTCCTAAAAATGTAATGGCTTAATAATTTGTTTATATTTAATTAGTATAGCAATTACATGACTCATAGATGCCACTTAGTTCCAGCCTCAGCTGTGACTTGTTTGTTCACATCCACCAACATCTGTATCAAACACTGTAGTCACATTTCTAGGAAATACAAACAGCAGCACAACAGTTGGAAAAAGACTGTGATTTAACAGAAATGATTAAACACTGTGTTGAAACATTTTACTTGTATGAGGCAAAAGATAAAACAATTCCAAAAGATTCTGAGACTGAAAAGAAAATTAATTTCTGGAGAATGCTCAGCTTATGAAAATGAATCAAAATGCATTCCCTTCCATGATGTGAAATACTCATCAAAACAAAGATGTTTGTGTTTATGATGTTTTGGCATATTCATTATTACATCATGAACAGTACAAGTCATGCATTATATCTCATTTGTTGGGATGCTTCTCTACCCACTTTTGAGGCAGGTACACCTGAGAAATCTATATGTTTAGAACAAAGCCTCATTAACAAATTTAATAACTCCAAAAGATTCTGTGAGACTGAAAAGAAAATTAATTTCTGGGGAATGCTCAGCTTACGAAAATGAATCAAAATGCATTCCCTTCTATGATGTGAAATACTCATCAAAACAAAGCTGTTTGTGTTTATGATGTTTTGGCATATTTATTATTACATCATGAACAGTACAAGTCATGCATTATATCTCATTTGTTGGGATGCTTCTCTACCCACTTTTGAGGCAGGTACACCTGAGAAATCTATATGTTTAGAACAAAGCCTCATTAACAAATTTAATTACAGCCTGGCAGTTTGTCTTCTAGAAGAGGAAAAAAACCCCACTTAAAATTTTATTTAACAACAAGACAGTGAATATTAATTATTTTGTCAGGACAGAGAATGACAACAGTAGATTTAATAGAGGTAGTTCCCAATGCCTGTTCCCAAAGAGGTTATAGAAAGTCTACAAGGTACAGTTTCCATTTCCATTTTATTTTCTTTAAAATATCATTCACTTTCCCTAATGTGTTTTTAGATAAGAAGATAAACCAGAAAGGCTTCAAGCACAACAGAAATTTTCAGCTGAGAAGAACAGAGAACCAAGCTGCTTGCAGAATGAACAGTAAATCCAAAGATATGAGACACAAGTGTTTCCTAGGATAAAACTTCCATTTTAAATACACAACAGAACTTCCAAGGCAGAAGCATGGCTACAGTGAAATTAATTTACCTTTATCTGTACAGCTATGTATGTGGAGAATACCAAACTTGCTAGACAAATTTTTGTTCCTAGGCTACCCAAAGAATAACCACATCGATTCATTATGGGTATTCATAGCTTAAAAGGCTAGAAAGGATCAAGAGGTCATTTGATCTCCTCTATAACACATCATATTTATTTTCTAAAGCAAAGCAAGCTTTAGAACAGCCAGCCAGAGTGGGTTTCGGAGAAGGCAAGTTCATAATTTTCCCTGGCCAACTGTTCCAAACCTCACTGGTAAAACTGCATGTCTTTTTTTTCTTTTTTAGCTTTAATTTGCAGATCTTGCTTCTTAGTTTATTCTGCAATAGCATTAAAAGAGCAATTTGCTGGTTCAATAATACAACCAAGATAAAAAAAGACCCAAGACACCACATGATGTTGTAGAATCACCTCCCATTTTGCAGACAGAGGGCAATATGTGCAGGCCAAAGGAGAAACGGCAGCACAGACACAGCAGATATCTCAAAAAGGAGATGTGCCAACAGAAGTCAACTTTCCAAGTCCTGCAGGAGCAAATACATCCTCAGAGATAGCTACAAGGCCTTCTACCAATCACAGCAAGCCTAAGTTTATGGTTTAGTTGCTTTATGACAAGAATGATTCCAAACAATTATCCTGTAACAAAAGAGGAGGAATTGAAAGGAAAACGATCATAAGCTTATTTAAGTCTCTTGTGTAACTACATCCCTCCAGGCATGGAACTTTTGCTTCTTAACAAGAGGTTATTTTAAGACTGTGTTTTAATAAACCTGTGTGCTTTCTTTCAATGCTTTGTCCTGTTGCCATAGTGACACAGAAGCTGGCACATGGAAGGAGCTACAGCCATTCTGAAAACTCAGTGCAGTGACTTAGGTGATTAGATCACAACTGTAGAAAATGAAGATTAATTTCCAACACTTATTACAAAAATATCCTAAGAAAGCCCCAAAACAAAAACCAGAAACAAGATTTAATGATCTCATTAAAGCTCATGTTTTCCAAAACAATAACCTAATTAGTGTTTAGAGGCACTGAAACTAAAAGCTAAACCAGAAATTACTATTTGCTTTTGATGAAGTATTGAATTGATAATGAATTGATAATAATACTATGAAATGTCAAACTTTTAATAATTCCTTCATTTCTGGCAAAACCCGATGAATGGTATCAAATGTGTGGCCTAAATAAGTCCTCTTCCCATGAAGACATGACTCAGCAAGGAATCTCTAACTGGATAATTGCAAATTTTTTGGTAGGCACTAAGTCAGAATATTGAAAATACTGGTGCATCTTGGTCCATTTGCTAAGTTCCACCACCCTGGCTAATAGCTTTTTGATATTACCTATTCTTTTGATTCACCCCTCTTTTCTTTAACCTATGAAAGAATTTTCCAAAATAAATAATTTAATCTCTATAGACAGAAAACTTAGCCAATATTCTCTTAAATGACATGACTACATTGAAATACTGCTAAGTGGCGACGGCAAAAGACGTGAGAGAAACTAAGATTAGCATTGTACATCTTCATTACTAATTAAGTGGTTTCAGATCTTGAGATTGAAGGAACTACATCAAAGGCAAAGTACAATAATATTTTATCTCTCCAGCTATAAGTTTTCCATTGATAAAAGCTTCAAATCCATAAACAGCAGGCTTATCATCCAAAGGAAAGATATATTTATCTTCAATTGATTTATGGTTTTAAGTGGTGTGAGGCTGTAACATCACTCACTACCCGAAATGAATATTTTTTGTGCAATATTTGAATTGTGATTAAAACATCAACACTTTCAGTGTAATGCTGCTTTTCACTACAAAATGTCAATCAGCATGCCACAATTAGAACTTTTATTTATACTTTAGTAATGAAGATATAATATTCATCAGTGCTTGAAAAATAGACATCTCCAGAAATACATAAGGAGCTGTAGAATTTGAATCTCTAAATCATTAATCAAATCTCTTCCAGAAGAAGAGGAAAACATGGCCTTCCAAAGGTTATTTGGTACGCTGACAGAGCTGAAGGTGTCAAGCTATTGCCTGCAAAAGAAGTCACCACTGCAGTATGTCTGCAATAGT